CAAACAGTAATCATAATCAGTTCAAAGATATGACTTAAGGGACATAACTCTGTAAGATTTTGTTTTTAATATATTTCAGACTATTGGCATGATTCTGAAAAAGGGCGTAAGCTGACATACATCCTATTTGCATGTTTTTTCATTTTTGAAATGAGAAAACTGATCTCTGTAATATGACATACACCATCTTTTTTTTACTAAACGCTCACCCAATACAAAGAGCCACTCAAGGTAGAGGATTACCGAATATGGTTGTTGTATGAACATAAGAGTGCAGATCATAAGGATATGTAGGATAGATGACAGTTTACCCTAGACTTGACTAGTTTAAGATTGTAAGGATCAGCTAATCATCTTCTGATGAGTCTGTTTCACAAAGTAGTGTAAAAGCTGTCTGAGTGGAACTTCCTCCCTATTAATGGAATATGAAGGGAATGAGGATAAGTTGACTCTGTGAACATGACATGGTAAGTCATATCTGAACAGGTTGAACTCAAGAATGTAGCTCATCTGAACATCCTGAAACAAAGACATTTTTGTGAAATTAGCCCCCAATTTAAAAAAAAAATCATATATTAGCATTCAACTAATGATATGAAATATCTTCTATGTAACATGTCCAGTGGGGATCATGGCTCTGCATAACTTCCTATTCCTTGCAGCTCTTTTTGACATCCCTCCCACCCCTCATTTTGTCATCTGCTGCCTCCTTGTCTCTCTTTTGACTTTGATAGAAGACAGAGGACAGAAAGTGCGACACTGAAATCTGAAGATGTATTGGGATGGCCAAAGTTGCCTTCCAAAAGCTAAGCAGAGTATTAAGAAACAGGAAAACATTATTAGAAACAAAGAAAAGAGTACTGAACTGTTATGTGATATCAGTACTTCTATATGACAGTCAATCTGGACAATCTTCTCAAAGATGAAGAAGAAACATGAAGCAACAGAAATGTGATTCTACAGAAAGATGTTGGGGATACCATGGACTGAACATGTGATCAACAACAGATTTTCAGAGAAAAACAAATAGGACTCTTATACTTAACATCAGAGAGATATTTGAAATTTCTAGGGTACATAATGAGGAAAGAAGGCTTGGAAAATCTGATACTTACAGGACAGATAGATGGCAAGAGGGAGAGAAGAAAACTACATGATGTACTTATTGGGCTTGAATAAATGGATGGTGGAATGAGGTTTAGGGGAGATAACAAAAAGACAGTATTTGTTATGAGCTATAAAGGAAATTGTGGAGAGCCATGATCACCTATATCTTGAAGTGACAGAGCACATAGAAGAAGAATGAAAAATGTATTTTTCATGCCATTACTATTGAGGCAACATTGAATCATTGTTGGAAGGTTGTAAAAACCCAGATGAAAAAGAAAATTGTTTGATTTAATCCAATTGTTCCTATCAAATTGTGAAATGAAGTTTGTTTTGAACAGGCTTGCTTCTAGAACCTTTCACATGAATGTGGGTGACCCCAAGGCTCTATCCTGGGTCCTACACTGTTTCTTTATCAATGACCTTCCTGATATCATCAGTTCCCAGGTAGGTAGATGACACTACCATTTATTCCTATCTCAGTAGAAAATCCATCAGAGTTGACAAAGTAAACCTGGCTGCTGCTCTCGAAAAGGAACCTCCAATCAGTGGTTAACTGGGGCAGGAAATGGCTTGTAAATTTTAATACCTCCAAAGCTAAACTGCTCTCATTTAAGTACCATAGAGAAACATTTCTGTCTGCCATCAGCATGGAGTGCAACACATTACGCCTTCTTGGCCTTATGTTTTCAACTTACTTGAAGTGGAGCAACTCCATCGAATCAATAGCTGTATTTTCTGCATGGAATGTTGGGTCACTGTTTTGTGCCAGAAAATATTTCTTCTCAGAACTCATCTTGCATATTTACAGATCTACCATTCATCCATGCATTGAACAGTGCTGCCATATGATCTCAAAGTTCTTGACAAAATCCAAAGAAGGATATGTAATGTAACTGATCCTGACCAGGAATCTCAAATTGAGTCACTTTCTCAATTTAAGCGTACTACTAGATTGGCATCTAGGTTCCACCTACTGTTGAAATAGATAAACGCAGCCACCACTTCTACTGTAACAATTTCTTTTCTCACACTTCCCACCTAGGAAACTCTCTTCTGTTTATTTGCTTCCCTGATAACTATAATCTTCAAATATTTAAATGCAACGTCAACTGTCATCTTCTATCTTCTTGAATCCTGTTCATCTTTTGTCTTTTCCTTAATCCTCTCTATACTCAGTCTTTTCTCTCATTTTCTCTCTCTGCAACCCCCTGTTTATTAGTAGCATTCCCACCTTGCTTGGGGGTGAAATGATCAAAAAAAAAAATTTTTGTTTCTAACAAAATGGTTGTAATTTTTGTCCAAGTTTCTGGGATGATGAGTTAATATTTACATTATTATTACATTATTATCATTACAACAGTCCAGTACACTTTTCTATGTTTCTCATTAAATTTTCCTGTTTCTTCATACTTTGCTTAACTTTAATGTTGATTCTTATATTTTGTTGGTTGGGTTCAATAATTCAGAATATCAGCTGCCATAAGTGTGGATGTGTGGATGGTGCAATGGATAATAGCTCAGAATTGGAAATCAGAGAGCCAAGTTCCACTTCCAGTCGGGTTTGTTGCATTCACTTACATGCAAATACCCTTGGAAAAGGTATGAATCAACCTCTTTACATGCACCAACTATGGGTCAATTAGTAAGACTACTATCAGTAGATTATTAAATAAAATCTTGCAGTTTAAAAATATTTTCTGGCTTTAAATAACCTGCAATGGGTTGATAAGCTGTAGAAGATGAATCAATCAACCAATAAAATACTGATTAGCTACGCAGGCATGTCTTTTATATTTATTTACATAATCTGGATTATAAATGTATAGAAACTACTGTGGTCACAAAGAGAGGGATCAGTTTATATATTGGTTGTAATATAAAATTGATCCCTTATTTTATATCCTCTTTATGATTTCTTGCTTATCAAATTCTGATTAGGTATGAATCTACCACTTCTCCCCAAGCTATGGATTAATTATGAAGACTTGTATCACTAAATCATTATTATCTTAAAAAACAAAAAAAAAATTCTAATAATCTAAAAATATTTTCTGGTTCTAAATAATCTGCAAAGTGTTGATAAGCTGTAGAAACGAATCTGTCTATTAATCAATCATGTCTTATTTACACCCCATTTTCCATGTTTTCCTTGTTGGGAATATTCATCTGGGTGTCAAGCCTAACCTAACCCAGTTCCATTCATCTGATAGAATGATATTCATCAATGAAAAATCAGTGTACATGTGTTCCCATTTCATGTGATTTTTTTCTCATAGATACCTTTTAAAACATATTTCATATATCTTGCTTGTTTTGCCACTTGAAGAATGTGGTATTTTATGCTTTTTAATGTTTCCCTACTGCTGCAATGCCTAAAGATTTTATTGTTTGACAAAGGCAAACTTGTTTTTTACACCTCCTTCTTGATATGCGATACAGTGGCAACTAGATCCTACCAGATCAAGCCTTGCGATCCATTTTCAACCTTCAAACTTGCAAAATGACTATTAATTTGAGACTTGTAAATTCAGAATATTTCACACAAAGGGCTGCTATTTTGGTTTCTTACTTTAGTTCACCCAATACAAGGCCTAAGAGTCACTCAAGTGAGATTGTTATAAGGGTGTAAGGGAGGGGAAAGGAAGAAGTAAGAAGTGCATATTATGAGGCTATATAGGGTAGTTAGCCCGAGACTTGACAGGGTAGTTGTCAGGGATACATCCTCTCAGGAGTCTGTTCCACAAAGTAACAGTGCTGAGAGGAAGAAGCTGCCTGAGTTCAACTTAGTCCTTACCAAAGGAATACAAAGAGAATGGTGATTTTTGGCACCTTGACATGTCATGACAGGTTCTAGTTGTGAAGATCTGAACTGGTAGAACTAAGGAATGTAGCTCATTTGAACATTTGCCATAGTAATTGTTATGGGACCTTACCCATAATAACATAATGGACTATTCCATACGTAATAAATACTGCGCCTCAAGAGGAAGCAGGGAGTTCTGTCCGAAGTTGGCTGACCGGCTGATTGGTTGAACTCTCTGCCTTCAGGCGGGGAGGAACCCGAATGAGGCTACGCCGAAGGGCAGAGTCTCTTTTGGGGAGGTAAACTGACCCTGAATCCGTTTATACGGGTTTTAAAAGGGCATATTTTAAAATATGTGAGAACATAGAACTAAAACTGATAAGAATGAAAAAACAACAATTGTTTTTCATAATTTTTATTTATATTCAATATTTAAGCATGATTTTGTTTTTAATCAATTCACCCCAAGCAAGGTGATAGTGTCAGTAAGACGCAAGGGGCTAATGGGAGTGAAAGAGAGTGAGCTGACTTTAGAAGGAATCAAAAACCCAAACCTAAACAGGAAACAAGGGATAAACCTCTACTCCTGTTCAAAGGTGTGAATTGGGCAATAGGTAAACCTATCTATCTACTTCTATTCAAGTAATTGGTATTGCGATCTGTGAATCACATTGAGAGATGAATAAGGATAATTATCCTTAATTTATTAGTTGTCACAAAGAACTATTGGAACTGCTTGTTAACCATCACACATTTTGGGAAGGATATCAGAATAATGCAGAACCTATACTTGTTTTGATTGATTGATTGATTCATTCATTTTTTATGACTTATCAACTCTTTGCAGGTTATTTAAAGCCAGAAAATATTTTTAGATTGTATGAATTTTTCTGTTTTTTGAGATAATAATGATTTAGTGATATAAATCACTAATTAACCCATAGCTGGAGTGAGAAGAGATGGATTCATGCTTTTCCCAAGTGTATTTGCATGTAAGTGAATATAAGGAACCCAACCGGAATTGGAACTTGGCTCTGTGATTAACAATTCTGAGCCATTATCCATTGCATCATCCACACATCCAAACTTACAGCACCTGGTATTCCAAAGTGGTCACCTATCTAAGTACTAACTAGGCTCAATGTTGCTTAACTTCAGTGATCAAACCACCTGCATGTGAATAGAAAATGAATTTTGTAAATATACAAAAAATAGAAAGAGGTGTAAGACAAGGATGTTTCTTCTCACCAGACTTATTCAACCTATACAGTGAGGCAATTCTGAGTGAATTAGAAGTCCCGCCAGGATTCATTATTGGTGGGCACAATTTTAATAACATGAGATATGTAGATGACACAGTGTTGATAACAGATATATAAAGGAAACTACAAAAATTCCTACAGGAATTAGTGAGGAAAAGCAAGCAGAAAGGACTAAACATCGATTGCAAAAAGACGGATTGCATGGTTGTTAGCAAAAGAAACAGCTCAACATGCAAATTAAAAATTGGGGATACCAAAATCAAACAAGTGCAAAAATTTAAATATCTGGGAAGTGCATTGAGATAGCAAAAGATGCATTCCAAAAGCTAAGCAGAGTATTAAGGGAGGGAAAAATTTCATTAGAAACAAAGAAAAGAGTACTGAACTCTTATGTAATATCAGTTCTTTCTGTATGGCAGTGAATGCTGGACAATCTCCTCAAAGATGAATAGACTTGATGCAACAGAAACGTGGTTTGACAGAAGAATGCTGAGAATACCATAAACTCAATATGAGCAATGAGCAATGATGATCAGAAAGAGGCTGTTGAAATTTCTTTAATGAGGAAAGAAAATGGAAACAAAATGGATGCATAACTTATACAAGTTTTAAGATCATGGAAAGAAGCTGTTCAGGAAGAAATTTCTAGGGCACATAATGAGGAAAGAGGGCTTGGAAAATTTGATACTCACAGGACAGATTGAGGGCAATAAGGATAGTGGAAAACAACACATAACCTACCTAGCAGGCTTGAGTAAATGGGTGGTACAGTAAGGTTTAGGAGAGATAACAAAAAGACAAAATTGATTATGAGCTACAAAAACAGGAAATTGTGGAGAGCCATGATCACCAATGTCCTCAAGGGATAGGGCAAATTGAAGAAGAATTACAAATAAAGTTCTGCGGTTTAATTTATATCACCCTGGCATCAGTTAAAAATGACTTTTTTCTGTAAGTTGTCATCTTTTTGCTTTAAGTTCATATTTTTTGGAATTCAGATGAAAAATTGGAAATTTTCTAATATATCCCAACATACTCTCACATATTTCATCAAAAATTTCCATTTTCCAAAATTATACTTTATAATTATATTTTAGAGAGCAAAAAGAAAACATTAGTTTAAACTGATGGCAGAAGTATATAGATAAAACTGACCCCAGGACTGATACATACTACCCACTGAATCCCCTGACATTGTCAAGCTTGATTGGGGACCCAGGACAGTGCTTTTTTTGACCCTTGCTATCTTATCAACATTTGCTTTTTTCTACCTACATTTATATACTTTTTTAAATTAAACTAAACACAACTATTAAACAATTAAAAATTTTTGTGGATTTTGATGTCATTCTGAGGTCTTTTTTTTGTTCAAATCTGAATTTGTTTTGCTCATGGTATGTCTTGAAGTCAGTTATGTGTTATGTATGATACATGCTTAGGCGATCATGTATCTTTTGATACATGACTGACGAAGCAGATTTTTTTCCTGCAGTAGGTTGCCATTTCCTTCTGCAGTAGACCAGTTGCCATCCAAGGCTATAGAAACCGGTCTGTCCTGCTATTTACCCATAGCTGAGGGGTGGGTGGAAGAAAAGGATTCATACCTTTCCCAAGGGTATTAACATGTAAGGGAATGCAATGAATTTGACTGGAATTTGAAAACATTATATAAAATTCACTATTTCTTATCCATAATTTTGAACATGTTAAAATTCTTCAACTTTTTAACAAGAAAAATCTCAAGTGGCTGTTAAGAATTGCTGCAAAAAATTGTTGATTAATTCAAGATGATCGATTATGATCATTCTCTAATTTGTATTTAAGCACATTGTATTTATTTTTGTTATAGACAAGCGTATGGTTGCAAGAAGGAAATACAAAAACAGTAGAAATAGATTTACGTGATTTATTTCAATAGGAACGTGTGGTTTTGGGACAGCTACCTTGTGGTATAGTTCATAGGGTTGATCTCTCATAGTAGTTCTCGCTGGTTGGCGTGGCGCTACTGCTGCTGACCGCTCAGACTGACTGTGACAGGTCTCTTCCCTGGCCTCCTGTTGACTGCTGCTGACTGACCGTGACAGGTCTCTTCCCTGGCCTCCTGTTGACTGCTGTTGTACTTCCCCATGTGACCCCTTTTATGGTATTTTTTATGGCTTAACAGGCTCGTAAAACGACGCGAGTATAATTAGAAGGGAAGCATTTTTATTGCTCGAAAAATAGAAACACTTTAAAATATTATTTTATTTTTCGACCGGAACTCGTGTGGCAGGCATTATGTGTAAACAACGATAATGGTCATTTTGTGACGGGGCCTTGTCCCGTTCACATCCAGCTCTTGCTCTTGAGTATGTTAGTTTATTAGCCTGCAAATCAGCCAAGATATGTCTTATTTTATTTTATAATATTTTCAATTTTTTAGTTGAATTGTTCACCGATATTGCATCCTATCCATTACTGTACATAATTAGATTAGAATAAAATTGGTATTTTATATGAATGCCACCTAATGAAAATTGAGATATATCTTAGAATGAGGGGGGATATCATAGATTCAGGGAGGGGACTGTATCATAGATTTAGGCAAGGATCCATGAGACCCTTGCACCAGCCCTGAGTGTAATGTTTATTGAAAGTGGAATTGATAAGCTGAGTTAAAATTCCTGCTTAGTCTGTTGTGTTCAACTTTTCCCTCCAGCTATGGGTTAAATAGCAAGATAATCTGGCTCTCTAGCTCCAGGTGGTAAACAGTCTAAAGAAAGGAAAACTTTGAAATCCAAACTGTGGAGAGAAAAACAGGCAACCACTCCATTATCTTCCCTAAGAAGACATGGCAATTCACAGATAATTAAGAAAAGGAGTCTATGAAGTGCCATGATGGCTTATAACCTGAAAGCAACAAAATGGTCTGAACTCAAAACCCTGGGGAAGGTAATGGAGAAAGAAAAATAACTGTACCAAATAAGAGAAACAACATCATGTGGTGACTACCAACAGCAGCAACAGTTAAAATGGTTAGCACATGTAACTTGAAGAGAAAATAATGACATAATTGAGTTGTTGACATTTTCATACTATTTTAAATAAAATGTTAGGAAGGAAACCACACATCAATACTGGGAAGATTGATAACAACTACTGAACTTGAGAAAGCTATTTTCCTGAAAAATAGTTTTAAGAGAAAGTTTTTATAAATTTCAATGGAATGAAGTAATGGCTGTTAAGTCAATGAATGCCGAATATTTTCCTGTTAGGAAATGGTTAATATTACCATTCCCATTATCAACATTTTGGGGGTTATTTAAATCTAATATTTTGGAATGTGAGAATAATTCTTTATTTTTCGGAGTGAATATTACATGAAGATTTTTTTAGAGAAAAACAATGTTTTTTCCAGATACTAGTTTTACTATTTAACCCATAACTGGAGGAAAACAAGACTGATTCATATCTTTTCCAAGAGTATTTGCATATACATGAATCCAAATTAGATGAATTGGAAATCTGAGGGAGGGTTGAAATTGTCTAGGTCATTGTATTACTGGGGTCTGGAAGCATACAGAGAAGGATGTTAGAGAATTGAAGAGGCATGTTGTCACTTGACATCTGGTTAAAGCCACTGGCTGCTACAAGTGTAAAATTTCAAAGAGAAATTTGAAGAAGAATTGGGATTATTGAGACAACAAGTGTCACTGGATTGTTCAAGGAGACTGACTAAGTGTTGGGTATTTAAGAAGAATTGATGTCACTTAATCTTTAGCAATAACCACATCACCTGGTGTAAATAAATGAATAAATAAATAATAATAATAATTAATTATTGTTATTATTATTACTCTTACAACTGGTGATAACATAAATAAATAAATCAATGGTGGTAATAATTAATAATTATAATTCATATTGAATAATGTGATAATAATTAATAATTATAATTCATATTGATGCTGGTGCTAATAATAATAATGATGATGATGATGATGGATGTAGTGATGATGATAATGGTGGTGGTGGTGATGATGATGGTAGTGGTGGTGGTGATGATGATGATAATGGTGGTGGTGGGGATGGTGCAAGAATTGCTAAAGGAACTAGAAATTATTGGAAGAGTTGGAATTGTCCAGATGACAACATTATTGGAACCTGCTAGAATACTGAGAAAAGAACTGAAGTATTGAGGAAACTTGCTGTCACTTTATCCCCAGTGTATGCTGCTAGTTAATATTGGTGGGAATGCTCAGTAAGTAAGTAAAATAATAATAATAAATGGAAGAAGAAAAAAGTGAGGACAGTGCTGGAATATGGGAAAGACTTGCTGCCACTTCAGTATAAGCCACCAGTAACTACTGGAGGGGGGAAAGGAGGGGGGAATCAATGAGAAAATGATAATTCTCAAATCATTTAACCAAAATAAATTATTACACTTAGTACTACAATGAGGTTACCGAGTAAAAGTTCTTGTTGACACATGTCTATCGACAGCACTCATCAAAGAATTCTGTTAATAAGAGATGATGACGACAACGATGATGATGATGAGCACCTGAACTAGAAAAAGATTGGGAGAGAGTGAGAGAGAAAAATAAAAGGGTCAAAAAAAAAAAAAAGGAGCCCACAGGAGTTATCTTTTCTTTGCAAAAATTGGTCAAACAGGAAGTGTCTTGCTAAGCTTACGTAGGTCACATGACAGAGCGCCATTTTTCGGAGGTATCAGACGACAACATACAGTGAGAGAAGGTCCTGTGTTACTTACTGTCTGCTTTTTCCTTCTCCTCTTGTTGTTATCATCATCATCATTAATATTATTATTATTATCATCATCATCACCACATTACAATTGTTACAACTATTCTTGTAACTGACTTACTTATTATTACCTACTACAACTACCAACTGATTTGCTA